ATATAGTGGGTATATAGTGGGTATATAGTGGGTATACAGCCTTTTGCACAAATTATGAGACATTTTTATATACATAAATATACCTAACCAAATATCAAAAACACCCCAGAAATTATGGTATATCTGTATTATATTTTGTCATGATTGCCTAGCATCAGGTTGTTACAGACAAAATATCAGCGACGGTATCCCATCATTTCTTGGGTGTTTTTGATATTTGGTTAGGTATATTTATATATATAAAAATGTCTCATAATTTGTGCAAAAGGCTGTATAGTGGGTATAGTGGGTATATTGGAATTGTGGGACTGTGGGAATGTGGGACTGTAGGAATTGTGAGATGCAAATGAGGCAAAAGTGATAGGGGAGGGGTGGTCAAAACGAGTAGGTGGTATAAATTATTTTAATAGGTGGGTATGCTAATGAAGTTAAAAGTGATAGGGGAGGGGTGGTCAAAACAAGCTTAAGTAGGAGGTAATTCATTATCATAAAATTGTGAGCAATCTAATTATGCAGTGGAACTTGTCACGACTATGTTTGAAGGAGGATTTCGAGAAATATTATAGTCGAGTCCAGGAATTAATGGTGTATGGTATTATAGATGCATTTGAAGAGTTTCCAATTAGCTTAACACACATGACATATCGACCTGACATCGACCTGACATCGACCTACATCGATCTGACATCGACATGGCATCGACATGGCATCGACCCCACATCGACCCTACATCGACCTGACATCGACCTGACATCGACCTGACATCGACATGACATCGACATGACACCGACCTGACATCGACCTCTTCTGATAAGTGATCAACTAAAAGAAGTCCAGGACCTCGGAATAACAGCATCTTCGTTGCCAGAAGCTAACACAGAAGATATTAATCAAGGCAAATACCAAATTATTTACTCGTCTGCCGAGCATGCTGCTGACCAAGAATTCCTACAGTCCACTCTAAAGACAGGACCGTTCCATGACAATATGGTCGCATTGGTAGTCGATGAGTCTCATACGCTAGAAACCTAGNATGGACGGGGATAAACATGTTTAATAAGTTTCTTAATTTTTTATGCAGGAAAAATAAACAATACAAAAACAGTGTTGAATACCGATCCTTTCAAGGTATTTTTGGAGATGGCCGAGCTCAACTTGCAAGGCTCATACATGTTCAAACGAGCTTTTAAAAAAAAACTCTTTAAATTGCCCCGTTTCGAAACTCCAGATTTCACGATTTGTTCATCGTTTTACCTCTAAAGCAAGTAATTTATTCTTTTATTCAGCAGAGATCCTATTGTAATGCAAACACTCCGTGTACAAAGAAGACAATAAAAATTTGTGATTGATTGAATCTAGGCAGTACAAAAGAGAATTTGAAATTTGAGTAATCAGAAAATTCCCGGGAAAATCGTTTCACATCCCCGTTCAGTGCCCCGCTAGTCCCGGGGGCTGGGTTTCGGGAGTTTCAATAGCCGACTTGCGAATTACGCATCAATAGTCACATACAAAGGAATCAAGACGAGGCGCCGTGCTAAAGACAGTAGATTTTTCACAAAAACGCACGGCGCCTCGTCTTGATTCCTTTGTATGTGACTATTGATGCGTAATTCGCAAGTCGGCTATTGGCTAGTGCATACCAACAATTAGTCCATTATATACACCTATAGCAATGACTTGAGTCTGTGTCTATTCTTTCTTTTTTTTAAATTAATACATGCAAAAAGTTGAGCAGACAAGTTTTACCAAGCCACTGGATTCCCTTTCCTTCAAATCCACCCACTTAACGATATCCCCCTCAATTGTTGGACATGTCGTGGCCAGTGCTGACACTTCTTCTGAAGGAAAAGCTCTGCTCCACAGGTTTACGCTGGCTACATTTCCCATTAGCGAATGGCCATCTACAAACCTACTTTTGTCGTTAACGTTTTGGCCAAGCACAATCGCACCTATGCTAAACGCGGTTCTTTTTTCTGTGACCCATGTACTTCGCAAGGCACCATTTACGTACAGTTTTGCGTTGCCATTTGTGTTTTCCCAAGTAAGGCAGATATGATGCCACTTGTTGTCAATAATTCCAATGCCGTAATTAGGCCTAAAACAAATGTAATAGAAAAGTTTTTTTTTTATTGCACAGGTAGACAATTACCTCTGTAATATTTAAGTAATAGATAACTTTTTCCGTGTTTACATAGCCTGATGCAAACACGAGGGTAGGTTGAGAGAATTCGAGACGAGAATTCGAGAATTCTCCCAACCTGTCCGATTGTTTGATTATCCGCTTCGACGTGCCGGCACTTCAGCATCACCGACGAAAAAAATTCACAAAACCACAAATAACACATGAAAGCATTGGTCGTATGAACTCCGTTTCATGGATAAGAAGGTGGAATTCATGTTCATAGAGACTTTTTATTGAACTGGTATCTGGTAACAATATCAAACTGGAGATAATTTTATGCGAGCGATGCAAGAACTGCAATTGCAACAAGCCGTACGAAAAAATTCCCAAAGCTACAAATAAAGACCTTGGTCGGATTAATTACGTTTATTATATACATACTGAGATTTTCTCACATATATTTCTATTTGAAAATCCGTTTCAAAATATTAACTAGCCAATCATAGGAGCGAAACGAATTTCTCACACGTGCGAAAAGCGTTTCGTCCAATCAGGAAAGACTTGTGAAAACGTACCACGGAATTCAATCAACAACTTCAAGCTTCTTATGACTAGAGACAAGGCATTTTAGAAAGTGAATTGACAACTAATATTGTGAGGAGAAAAACAGAAATTCAACAGCTAAAACGGCGAGTGATGAAAAGCNAATTTAACACGACTTGTACTGTTTATCTGAGTGAAAGGAGAGCTGCGGGTTTTCCCTTTCCTTTATTTACACTTTCAAATATGACCGCTTAACAAAAATGCACGGGCTCACTGGCTTACAACCTTGGCGAATTCATATGCAGGCCTGGTCGCAAATCAATCACCCAGAGACTGGAAGAAGGTATTTAAAGTTCTTATGTATAGGGAAACGAATCTATAAGCGATTTTACGAGTGATTGCATTTGTTCAAACTTTTGAATCACGTGAAATGTTCTTACAACAGACACAAAAATCATCGAAAAGGGTTTTTTTGGTTTAACTATAAGTATTTCTTTAACAGTGCCACTGACAATAGTCTCCTTCACGGTTACCTGCGCCAT